GTAAAGCCAGGTAATTTGGGGGGTCTCACCCATGGCAAAGAGATGGAAACTTGCTTTGTTTACATCTCTCTTATAGTATTTTATCACTTTCTGATTTGTGTTAAAGTTACTTAAACACATATCTTCTTTTTCCCATTAGATTATAAGTTCATTGACAGTAGAAATTTAGTCCATTCATTTGCATGTCTTCATAGGAATTAACATAGCAGTTTATAGATGGTAGGAGCTCAACAAGTAGATGTTGGTGAAAATAAACAAAAAAGCGACAGAATGAAACCCTTGTTGAAAGCTTTTCTTTCTCCAAAACCATCCCCAAACTGATCTTGTGTCCTGTCTTCCAACTCCAGTTCAGAAGTATGTGATGACTCCCCAGTGCCCCTCTTACCAGTCTCATACTTTGAGTCGCCCTAACGCTCAGTCCTCCCGATCTGACCCTCCCTCATTTGTCCAGTCTAAAGGGAGCTCGGAGGCAACGGAAAGCCAGTCTGCAGATGCTGAGCCCCCACCGCCCCCTAAGCCGGACCTGAGCCGTTACACGGGGCTGCGGACACACCTCAGCCTGGCTACTAATGAGGGTAAGGGCAGGAGCGGGAGCGACACTCTTATTTGTTAGCTGTGGAGGTGACACAGGCAAGGGCTGGGAGATAATGCTTGTGTTGTGACTGAGAAAACCCAGCAAGTGGTACTTGAACCACTTCTTTGGACAGCCGGGAGGAAGGGGATGACATAACAGTTAGCTCTTGGCAGTGAGTTGGACATCCCTGTGTGTCTGTGTGTACTCTCAGCATCCGGACAGACCAGAGAACATTCTGGGATCTGTTTGGTACATTCACTCACTCTGTGTTCTGGGCTGGTATGAGTCTGTAGTCTTGGTTTCAGCAAAATCATTATGTTCCTTTGCTTGGTATATCTTTTCCTACCTTGTTCTCCCCCTGTACTTTAAGGAACTCTAGCCAGGTTAAGAGAACAGCTTGTAAAGTGGTGCCCCCTGGGCCTTTTTTTTCCTGCAGAGAGCAGCCTCTTGGGCAAGGACAGCCCCCCCACCCCTACCATGTACAAGTACCGGCCAGGCTACAGCAGCAGCAGTACATCAGCCGCCATGCCTCATTCTTCCAGCGCCAAGGTACTGAGTACTCTCTAAGAAGTAGGGTTGTCATGTATGCCAGCTGTTCTGGGAAAAAGAAGATTGGGAGAAGGGGAGGAAGAAGCAGAGGGAAGAGAAGAAAACCAAAGGCATTTTACTAATTGTTGGCTTAGTAATAGCGTTGACAGTTTGTCCTTCATCCAAGAGAGGTCACAGTAGCATAATAGATAAAAGCATTGATTACAGCATCAGATCTGAGTTCAAAACCCAGTTGTGCCATCACAGAGAAGTTCCTTAAACTCTCTAAGCCCCATTTCCTGCAATCTTAAAATGAGATATTATTTGTTCCTACTTACAGATTTACTTTAGGGGTTAAACAGGATAATGCATGTGAAAATCCTAAGCATATTGCTGGCACATAGCAAATACTGTTTTTGACTGCCTCCTTGGGCTCTGGGGCCTACTGTCCCAAGAGGGGACAAGAGGGGGAGCACTAAGAACCTGCTTTGCTTTTCTCCCTCAGTTGAGTCGTGGGGACAGCTTGAAGGAGCCAACCTCAATTGCGGAGAGCAGCCGTCATCCCAGCTACCGTTCAGAGCCGAGCTTGGAGCCAGAGAGCTTCCGTTCTCCCACCTTTGGCAAAAGTTTTCACTTTGATCCACTGTCCAGTGGCTCACGCTCCTCCAGCCTCAAGTCAGCCCAGGGCACAGGCTTTGAGCTGGGCCAGTTGCAGTCCATTCGTTCAGAGGGCACAACCTCCACCTCCTATAAGAGCTTGGCCAACCAGACACGTAATGGAAGCCTATCTTACGACAGTCTGCTCACTCCTTCAGACAGCCCTGATTTTGAGTCCGTGCAGGCAGGGCCTGAGCCAGACCCACCTTTAGGCTACACCTCTCCCTTCCTGTCAGCCCGGCTGGCCCAGCAGCGGGAAGCCGAGAGGCACCCACGTTTGGTGCCAACCGGCCCAACGCACCGAGAGCCCTCACCAGTCCGGTACGACAATCTGTCGCGCCATATCGTGGCCTCCCTCCAGGAACGAGAGAAGCTGCTACGCCAGTCACCCCCACTCCCAGGCCGTGAGGAAGAACCAGGCTTGGGGGACTCAGGCATCCAGTCAACACCAGGCTCAGGCCACGCCCCTCGTACTAGTTCCTCCTCAGATGATTCGAAGAGATCACCCTTGGGCAAGACTCCACTGGGACGCCCAGCTGTCCCCCGTTTTGGCAAGCCAGATGGGCTAAGGGGCCGGGGACTAGGGTCCCCTGAACCAGGCCCAACTGCCCCCTACGTGGGCCGATCTATGTCTTACAGCAGCCAAAAAGCCCCATCTGGTGTCTCTGAGACAGAGGAAGTGGCCTTGCAGCCATTACTGACACCCAAGTAAGTATTAGTCCATCCTGGCCCCCAATGGACTTAAAAGTAGCGTAGTGCCCTGCAGAAGGTATCAGGGCTTCACCTGTACATTTTAGTGCAAGTGGACCCAGGGTTATCCTGCTTGTAAGATAGCCCTTCATTTTCACTCTTACTCCAGCTGCCTTCATGGGCTATTCCTGTTAAGAGACTGAGGATTAATACTTTTTTCTTAGTCCTGTCTTCCTAAAAAGTAATTTATTTGCCTGAGAGTGAAAGGAATAAGTAGAGGAGAGAGGGAATCAGGCTGCTTGTAAGCAGGGCAGTAAAATAAAAGGGAATCTTTGTGTAAGAAAGTATATATGTAGAAAGCACATTTTTTTCTCTTAACTTTTTAAACTACCTCCCTTTTCGGTGCTGTGTGTCCCACTTCTGACACCTCTCTCTTCTTTTCTTCCCAGAGATGAAGTACAGCTCAAGACCGCCTACAGCAAAACCAACGGGCAGCCCAAGAATATAGGCTCAGCCTCCCCTGGCCCAGGCCAGCCACCTCTCAGTAGCCCCACAAGGGGAGGAGTCAAGAAGGTGTCAGGGGTGGGTGGCACCACCTATGAGATTTCGGTGTGAGCTTTGGGCAGCTCCCCTCCCCCACACCTCTGCGCCTACACCAAAGGGCCCCAGGTGGCCACCTTCCTTTCCTCAAGGGGCTCCCCTCCCCTGCATGGACATTTTTTAAACAACCGATTCCAAGAGGATGAGGACATTTTATAAAATGCAGTGGGGTTGGGGAGTTGGAGAGTTGGGGCCCTGAGACTGGGGTAGCAACCCCCTTCACCTTTTAAGACCTTCCCCTTCCTTAACCCCTGGACCAGACTCAGTGGACATTTGTGCAATTGCTCGCCTGGAGGGAACCAGATCATTTTTAAACCAGAAATAATTTTTTTTATTATTGTTACGGATTCTATTTTTTTCCTCTTCTGCGTTACCAGGTGTGTGTGTACACTATATATATATATATATATATATATATATATATATATAAAATAAATATCAAAGAAATTATATATCTATCCTGGGATGGGAAAATGAGGGAGGGATATGTATAAGGAGGGGGATTTTACTCTTCTTATTCCTCAGACCAGCAGGAAAAGAGGGGAGACATCGATTGAAGTCTTCCTTTCCCCCCGTGGTTCCCTCTCTTTGTCCCAGTTACCATCTAAGGAAATAGCACCCCCTGTTGTTGGTGCTAAGTGACCAGGAAAGAAACCCAGGGCGAGGCGCGTCTGGGTGGGGTTCTGGAGGAGGGAAGGACCTGGAGAGGAGAGTTTGTTTTCTAGGCTCACTGGCACTTAGTTTCCCCCAGGGAAGGGGTCGCAGCCCCATGACTTTGGTGGTGGGGAGATCAGGACAAGAGCTTGGCTGAGCTCCAGAAACAATACTGGATAATCCCCCCTTCTTGGGGGAGAGGGATTATGGTGGGCTTCTTCAACTGGCCCCTCAAAGCCTTCCCCCAACTCACACGGTTGACATTATTTTTAAATTCAAGGCCGGGAGAGAAGAATCCAAAAAGCAATATTTCTCATCACATGCCAAAAACGGGATAGAGAGAAGGAGTGGCAGGCCTAGGCCCCTCCAGTTGTCCCTTGGGGGTTACCCCTCAGCCCACCTCAGTATGGTGCTGGGTAGAGGGGATACCTGGGTTCTAACCTTTAAGTAGGGAAGACCCCAGCCTCTAAACAGAAGCCCTTTTATTTTTTATTCTGATTAGCCATTTTAAACCAACAAGGAATAAAAAGAAATCCTGATCTAACCAGCTCCCCCTGACTTGTGTTATTTTGTGTGGTTAAGGCAGGGTGAACGACGATCTCTGATGGGAAGTTAGTTACAAGGAAAACCGCCTGAGCATCTCTGGTCCTGGTCCAACTTTAAGCAGGACTGTAGTGAAAATAACCACTTAAAACAAGAGGTCCTGTTTTTATTTCAGTGATTTAGATGTTTCAGAAAAAGGTCTTTTGGAACCACCAAAACTTGTCATTTCAAAGCTTAGAGAGCTCTTGACTTTTGCCACAGTTGTTCCTTAATACAGAATTTTGTCTCTGGAAAATAAAGCTCATTTTGGATGTAGTCAGAGGTGAGCCAGTGGATGATCACAGTATGAAAGCCTGTTAAAGGCAGATAGGCTAGAGGGATATATGGGTGGCAGTCTGACATCTCATATTGTCTCTTCCGTTGGTCGAAAGCAGAAGGCTGTGCGCTAATTTTAAAAAGGCACCATCAGATACTAAATCTCAGAAAACTGGCCAGAACCCTTTATTTTCACTTGTCCATAACTTAAGTATTTAAACTCTTGCTCTGAAATCCTAGTTAAAACGAGCTGAATGAGTGGTTTTCCACCTGCTGATCAAGGTGAACAGTCTTGGCTCACTGCAGCAGATTTTAACTGTTCTGTGTCAAACTGAGCTCAAAGTCAGATTACATTAGCTTGTTTTCTCATGGATGTTTCTGGTTATCTGGCCTGCTGCAAAGACTGAAGGGATTTATTTTACATTTTGCTAGTTTAGGCTACCTTTTTTTTTTTTTCCGTCTTAGAAATGTTTTCACATCGGCCAAGTGATTTCATTGTCTTAAGGAATGAGGCAGGTCAAAAGTTCTTATTATAAAGAGAAGCATTTACCTTTGCTTGCCCGAGGTTTATTTCAAAAAATGATAGGCTTGACCAAGAAGCAACCTTGCTGAAATATGTTGGTGACTGTGGGTGCTTTTTCCGTTGGCTACTCTGTTTCAACACAAAACTGACCCAGAACACAGCTGAGACCTAAGTGAATCCACTCCTTGAGACAGAGCCTGAAGATCATCCAGGTTACTGGTTCTCAACATTACAGGCAGAGTGCTATGTGTCTGCTGTGGAAAGGTATTAGCAAGCTCTGCCTCGCCTTTGGACCATGTTCCCCAATCTCATTTTGGTTGTTTCCCTGCCTGCTGATGAGATAATGTAATACAAGACCCAAATCCCCTCAGATCTTAGCATGCCTTGGCTTAAACCCTGACTCTCATAGAAAGGCACTTACCTCTTAACAGGCAGCCACACTTCAGCCAGTTTGATAAATGCAATTTTAAGAAAATAAAAATCCTAAAAAATCAGATAAAGTCCTAAATCAGACAAATGGCACAAAAGAGATGAAAAGAAAGCTTCCTGGGAGAGGAAGAGATGTCCATGAGAAAGCAAACTGGGCTGAGGCTTACAAAAGCAGAGCCCTTCTCTTACAGTGTGTTCATCTTAACTGAGCACAGCAGGAGCTGGCTTCTGTCCCAGCGGCAGGGGATGCTCCCAAGGCGGTGGCCAAGAGCCTGCAAGGCAGCTTTGTCAGCGGGTTCAGTACAGCAGGAAGGTCCTCCTGGCAGAGTCCCCTGGTCCTGCTAGCGGAGGCTGCTGCTGCTGCTGGCCTGAGAGCTGCCCACGCCTGGGTGGTCGGGGCTGTGCCGGTTCTGGGGAAGAAAAGTGAGCAAGAGTAAGAGAGCCAGACTCCACCTAGGATGAGTAAGACGGGAAAACTCACCGGGCTGCAGACACCAGCCGCTCCCATACCTTCTTTTTCTTCTTCTCTTTCTTCTTCCGTTTCCGTTCAGGATCCTCTTCTTTTTTCTTTTTCTTCTTCTTGTGATCTGAATCAGATGGTGTTTCTGTAGGAGAGATGAGGAGCCTATCACCTGTCGAGCTCAAAATTCTCCACCGCCGTTTTGGAGGCACTGCTTAAGCTCCTGCCCCAAGGTCCTACTTGCCCAGGAGACCCACATTATGTCAATTTCTTCTTTAAGGAGAATCTGGGAGTCCAGGGCTCATAAGGAATTTGACTGGGTTTTTAACTGAAGAAGGTCAAAACAGATTCAGAATGTTCGGTTTTCTGGCTTTGAAGAGAACCACTTCTTACCTGGGGGGACCGGATCCTGGGTACGGCTCTGTTTGTGCTTCTGCTTATTCTTCTTCTTGGGAGGCTGAATATGCATCAGACGACACTGCTCTGGCAACTGAAGGAACCAAAGGAAGGTCCAGGTGAGTAGAGGGAGGGAATCCCCCGCTCCCGTCATCTGTTCTGCTCAGTAAGTTATGAAGGAACAGAGGTAGACAGAAAAACCACCTCCGTGCCTCTCAGGCCTCCCCATGAGGGGACTCACCGGGCCTGTGTGGAGGCGGAAGCCAGCCAGCATGGTCCCTGTGATAGGATTAAAAGAGCCACCAAGAATAGGGGGCTTCTCAATGAGGGAGCGGAGGCTGCTGTTGTCATGGGAACCAGGCAGATCAATCATCCCTGGCAGGTCAGGCAGGAAGTTACTTAGCTTCTCCTTCACTTTCTTCCCACAGAATTTATTATAGGCATGTTCCAAGTTGTAGTGTGTGATCAGATTAGTGCTGCCTGTCAGCTCTGTGCTGCCTAGAAGATACAGGGAGAATAATAATAAGAAAAATTAGTACCAAGAGGAGAGAATTTTTTTTTAAGTCATTGCCCCAGAAGGGAAAGTAATCTTTTAAGTGAGAATTACCAAAAAAATAATAATAATTTAAAAAGTTATTTTTAAAGTAAGAAATAGCAAAAGTAGGGCTTCCCTGGTGGCACAGTAGTTAAGAATCCGCCTGCTAATGAGCAGGAGACATGGGTTCGATCCCTGGTCCAGGAAGATCCCACATGCTGCAGAGCAACTAAACCCATGCACCACAACTACTGAAGCCCACGTGCCTAGAGCCCATGCTCCGCGACAAGCCACTGCAATGAGAAGCCTGCGCACCGCAACGAAGAGTAACCCCGCTCACCACAACTAGAGAAAAGCCCACGCACAGTAACGAAGACCCAACGCAGCCAAAAATAAATAAATAAATAACTTTATTTTAAAAGTAAGAAATAGCAAAAGTAAATAACATACAATAAACACTAAAAATATAATACTATAGAATGGTAGGTTGGAATGAGAAGGAGAAAAAATAGGCAAAAATCCAAATAGGGCAGCAGTGGAAACTGCTTTAGCCCAATGAAGGATACACTCGGACTAACCAGAGTAATAACCTACATGATGCTTATACTCTGTGTTAAGCACTGTGCACTGTTCTGTGTTTCATAAATGTACTAATGAGAAATCATACTTTTGGCCATGACCAGAATAATACAACCTCACAGCTCTGCTACAACCAAACGTAGGGTCAAATATGACCCAGTGGCTTGAGTGTCTTGCTTCCTTTTTTTTTTTTTTTTAAACCAGCAAGAAACACTAATCACCTTTACAGAGAAGAACAGGAGATTTTTCTAGCTACTGCTACATAACTTTTGTTACCACCATCTTTAGTCTCCTAATAATACCAAATATGATAGCTTTGCCTAGAAGAAAGAAAAGTTTGATTAGAAGCTGGGCAACTAGACTTCTAATCCTAGCCGCCCTCTATGTCTCAGTTTCCGCTTATCTATGCAATGGAGTAAAAGCTACCTTAATTACACAATTCTTTTTAAGGTTCAAATGAAATATTGAAAAGTATAAAGTATTATATAAATGGAAGGCTTTATTAGTATAAATATTTCACGGCTGGCTTTTTTGAAAGAATACAAACTTATGAGTAATTTAACTAGGGTCCAGTGGCGAGGGTAGAAATATCTAGCCTACAATTTCATGTATAGTTATGATGAACACTCAGGGTACAAATGACAAAAGTGACTTGTTTATAATCATTCACTTGATAAAACTCAGGTTCTGAGCTATGAGCCCACTGAGGGCAGAGAAAATGCCTTGTTCATTCATGTACCACTGCTGCTCAGCACACATTAAACGAACAATGTATTTTTCCTCCCCACCTTCAGGCCTTACGTTATTCTTTTCCTTTGTCTTCCCAAGCCAAATATCTCAGAAGAGTGGTCCACGGTAATGGAAGGAGGCTCAGTGCCCCCGTACTTCTCGTAACTCAGCACTGCTTCCTGCCATTAAGAGTATCCTGATTTTTTTGCTCTCTGTCAGCTCTCCTTCCAGATGATTATTCTCAAGGCTCAGGTGAAAAGGCACTCTGTGCTTTTTTGTAAATTCTTTAAGAGTCCATCCAACTTTCTGTTTTGCCCATCAGTTCTGTGAAGGTGACTTATAAATCTCTCTTCTTCAGTTTCCTCCCCTGACAACTAACCTTCCATTTCCAACATTGTCTTAGTTAATTCACTGCAGATTTAATTTTTTTTAACTCCAAATCTTCCCCACCTCACTCATGGTTCCTTTATTCTAGTACATGGCACCCACATTCTCCAGATATCTTTAGAAGCAGTACTCAGTTCAAATATCTCAATGGTTTCCTATTCCCTCAGGAAAAAGCTCAAATCCTTTTGACTGTCATTCACGGTTAAACACATCTTACTGTAACTTAGCTTTGGGGCCTGACCACCTGCTACTCCCCTATGTAAAATTTCTGATCCATCCAAACGGGTATCCATCATCTCCTGAAAAAAATACCCCTCGTATTGTTTCCTTTTAGAAAAATTGACCTAATTATAGGAAAATTCTTCGTAATTTTCCTCACCAGTATGAATTCTTCAAAGTCCAGCTAAAGTGACAACTTATTCTTGCTGTCATGTTGAACAACAAGAAACACATTTTGAAAACCATTATGCAGTTCTTAGTAGTTGTATGTGAGGCATGACCAGAAAATAATGACATTGATCCTGACAAGAAATAACAGTCACTACTTTATCTTTAAACGACATACTTTTCATTCTTAAGTAAAATTAGCTGCTTAAAAGCAAGGACCAGGCTTACTGATCTCTCTTCCCTTCTCATCACATGCTCCCTTTTTACACACCCAGTGTTTGCCCAGAACGGATAGTCAATATCTATCAAGTGATTGATGTAAATAAGTACAATCAGAACAGGTTAAGGTTAAAGAAACTGCTGGTAGACATCAACCACTAATTAACTAAAGTCAAGTCAACCTCGCTATGCTTCAGTTTTTTTTTTTAAGATTTAAAAAATATTTATTTATTTGGCTGCGTCGGGTCTTCGTTGCGGCAGGCGGGATCTTCGTTGAGGTGCGCGGGGCCTCAGTAATTGCGGCGCGTGGGCTTAGTTGCCCTGCAGCATGTGGGATCTTAGTTCCCCGACCAGGGATTGAACCTGCATCCCCTGCATTGGAAGGCGGATTCTTAACCACTGGACCAGCAGGGAAGTCCTTGCTTCAGTTTTTTCAACTATAAAATGCAGATAACAATGCCTATCTCAAGGGACTATTTAAGTATTAAATACTATAATATAAATAACTGCACGGTGAACCTCAAAGTCTGTAACAATATGCATTATTATTTCCCTCAGCTCTTGATGTAGCAGTAGGACTTGGGATGAACTAAAAGGCATCCTGGAGACTTAACACATCCAGAATGACTCTTGAGGATCTCCCTGGTGGTCCAGTGGTTAAGAATCCGCCTGCCAATGCAGGGGACATGGGTTCGAGCCCTGGTCCGGGAAGATCCCACATGCTGCGGAGCAACTAAGCCCGTGCGCCACAACTACTGAGCCTGAGCTCTAAAGCCCGCGAGCCACAACTACTGAGCCCGCGAGCCACAACTACTGAAGCCCACGCACCTAGAGCCCGTGCTCCGCAACAAGAGAAACCACCGCAATGAGAAGCCCGCGCACCGCAACGAAGAGTAGCCCTCGCTCGCCGCAACTAGAGAAAGCCCGCGCGCAGCAACGAAGACCCAACGCAGCCAAAAATAAATAAAATAAATCAATTAAATAAATGAATTTATTAGAAAAAATTCTAATCACTTCCAACAGATGAGGAAACGCCGAGGCCCAGATTAGGAAGGAAGGCAACACGCCCCAAACCAACAGCAAGTTTGAGGCAGATTTGAAACTAAGTTCGCAAGGGTATTAAATCTGAACTCTCAAGTTGCAAACTCAAACTCTGGATAATTTTTAGGGAGCCATAAACCACTGTCAGGGACAGGGGCACGATAGAGCGTGAAAGGTGGTCACGGATATCCACTCTTCTCATTCCCAATCCATCCCAAGAATTCATATCATCCCTTTGCTTGTGAATCCTCAGAGTCTCAGAGTCCGCTCCGATATACAGCTCTGGAATCCCCACACGCGTTGCCTACTTTACCCCTCACCTCCGCCAGGCGGCTGAGAGGCACGCCCATTCCCTCCTCGTTATGATCTGACTGGCTAGCTTTGGCCAGGCCTCGAACTCACCTGGCAGTTCCCGCATTAGGTAGAAGGGGCCACAACCTGCCGCTGACTTGTCAGCGCCGGAAGGGGCCGAGGCCGCGGTTGGGGGCGGGGCGGGGCCGGGCCCTCCACCCGGAGGAGGAGGCGGTGGGGGTGGAGGTTTTCCAGCTCCGAAGCCGAGTGCGGTTGGGGGCGGCGGTGGGTCAGCCTGAGCCCCGAACAGCGCCGTGAAATTCTCCATCGTCCCCTCTGCCCCGGCGCTGTCCCGGTGTCTGGCGTTAATGACTTTCATTGGTCAATCTTTTCCCGGGGTACCGCCCCCTTCCTCCAGGAGCCTCTTACCATTGGATTGCCTCGGGCCGTGCCTACCCTCTTCCGGTAACCACTTCCGGCGCCTTCTGAGAACTTTCCGGAAGTATTACCTACCTTTATTAAATTCTCCTCCTACCTCCGTTCGCCACAGTCGTATAGTCAATAATATGACACATAGAAAAAGCGACAGCTAGGTTAGCCAATAAAGTATCAAATCCCTTTCTCAGTTTTTAACCTGCCGTAGAGGCCAATCAGATATCTAATTCCGGGTCCAGAGGTGGTGCATCCGACACTGGGCCCAATGGAAGCCTCAATGGTGGGAGAGGCGGGACCAGACCTACGGACGCCGAAGAGCGGTCGGCGCCCCAAGGGCCGGAAAGATGGCGGTCCTAGCACCTTTAATTGCTCTAGTGTATTCAGTGCCGCGACTTTCACGATGGCTGGCCCGACCTTACTACCTTTTGTCAGCCCTGCTCTCTGCTGCCTTTGTACTCGTGAGGAAGCTGCCCCCTGTCTGCCACAGTCTCCCTACGCAACGCGAAGACGGTAACCCGTGTGACTTTGACTGGGTGAGCGACCCCCGCCTTAGGACCCCGCGACCTTGACTGTCCCTGCCCCTGCCCCTGTGATTGCATCCGGGAGCCCCGAGGTTTACCTTTTTGAGAACATCTGAGGTTCCGAGCCTCTAGCGGACTTAACAGACTATTAGGAGTGTAGGGCGTGGATCGTCATCGAGCCTAAACCTCTTGTTTAGGATGGGAAAACATCCGGTTAGCCTGCACAACAGCCCAAGTCTTCTCCCTTTTGAGTCCAAGCTCCTTTCTGTCTCACAGTTCACAGTCGACAACAGACCTACCCAAACTAGGCAAGTACACTGTTTGCCAGAGCTGCTCATTATGTAAAGCCTTTTGAGGAACCAGTGAGTTAAACAAGGCAAGTAGTATACTCATTTTATTGATGAAGAAATTGATCTAGGCGTGGTTAGGCGACTTGTCCAAGGTCACACAACTAGTGAGTGACTAGGACTTGAAACCACTCTTCGGCCATGGTATCAGCACGCTCTGTCAGCCATTGCTTAATTCAGTTAACAATTACTGAGTGAGGACTGTTAATGCTGTGCACTGTGCTGCATCCTGGGGATGTAAAAATGAATAAAATTGTTAGGGCTATTGAAATGGAATTGTAAGAAATACATTGCAGAGAAATCTATCTCAAGCCTCTTGCAGTATTCCCTGAGCTGGAGTGGAGAGACCACTCAGAAAAATAAGTTGAAGCTCTCTGACCTCTGCTGTGTAGCCGCATCTGTGTTCTGGGAAAGGAGGATCACCTGAGTTTTTGCCCTTTTTTCAAGGCCCCAAAATGAGCCTTGACCTTTAACAGAGCCCACTTCCTTACTTTTATTCTCCATCCCTTGTTTACTTTTTCATACTTCCTCTGTCCTTTCCCAGTGTTATTAATTAGCTCAAATGTAGCCATGCTACTTCAAAAGATTCTATTTTTATCTATACCACTTTAACCAAAATGAGACTCAAACATATAAGTGGATAGTAATAAAGATTTTAATAAAAGGAGGGACCTTTTATACAATAAATTTCTCTGTATTCTCTTGTCTTAATTATGTGCAAAATACTGTAAGGTTTTATATTTTCATATTACTCTGTTATGTTTTTTGTTTTTAAACTATGTAGGGTTTATGGCCAGTGTTTGTTTTCCTGGAAAATCTGTGTTTTGCTGATTTACCTTGGTGATTTGTAAATTAGAATATAAGGTAAATAATGTTAGCAATAACAGGTAAACTTCAAAATTTCAGTGGCTTAACAGAATAAAAGTTTATTTCTATTTTATTAAATAAAAAGAAAGAATCAAGTATTTTGCTTTTCCTCTACATACTGTCAGAGTAACCAGATAATTGATATAGAAAAATTTGAGCTAATGCAGAAGGAGTGATAGCAGTTAAAAGTCATGTAGCATTCTCGAATGCAATAATACATGTAGACAATGATCATCTAAAGCCATCAGATGAAAGGTTGCTATGTCCTCTGAAGTGATTCAGTAGGGAGTACCTAGTACCTCCTAGGATGTATTTTTGGCAAAAGATTTGGATTTCATTGTATTCACATCTCTAGATTTCATTACCATTTTACAAGAAATATGGGAAATAGAGGATCATCATCGTCAGAACGCATACCATGAGTATTGCCAGCAGCCAAATCCAAGAAAGTCAGACAGTTGACAGTGCAAATGACTCAAGGTCTTCAACAGATAAATAGCCTGGGATAGAAAGGAAGAACAGGTATCCTTTAGAGATTAAAGAAGACCAAAGAAAGACATTGGCCAAATGCAATTTGTGGTTCTTGCTTGCTTGTTCCTGATTTGAACAAACAACTGTACAAAGTTGTACAAAATCTAATACTTTGTTCTTTGAATAAGGGCCAGGTATTAGATAACAATAATAAAAATAATTATTAAAATAAAAAGTAATTATTGTTAATTTTGTTAGGTATGATAATGGTATTTTGGTTTGTTTTAAAAAACAAGTCCTTGGGACTTACCTGGTGGCGCAGTGGTTAAGAATCCACGAGCCAGTGCAGGGGACACGGGTTCAAGCCCTGGTCTGGGAAGATCCCACATGCCGTGGAGCAGCTAAGCCAGTGCACCACAACTACTGAGCCCACACGCCACAACTGCTGAAGCCCACATGCCACAACTACTGAAGCCCGTGTGCCTAGAGCCTGTGCTCCACAACAAGGGAAGCCACTGCAATGAGAAGCCCACGCACCGCAACAAAGAGTGGCCCGCCACTTGCTGCAACTAGAGAAAGCGCGTGCGCAGCAATGAAAACCCAATGCAGCCAAAAATAAATAAATAAATGAATAAAAATTTTAAAAAAAAGTTCTTATCTGTAAGCAATACATACTGAAGTATTTACAGGTGAAATGATGTAGTTGGAATTTGCTTTAAGTTCCTCCAGCAAAAGAAATGGGTAGCATAGATGAAATTGAACCATATTGGCAAGATATTACTATTGAAGCTGAGTAATAGGGGTTTATTAAGGTATTGTAGGGGTCAGAAAAGAGTTTTCCCTTTACCCTTCTGAGGTCTTGCCTGAGACCCCCTAATAAAAGACAGATTAAAGACAATTAAATACAAACAAGTTTATTAACATGTATAACTTGTATACAGGGGAATACCCAGGGAAAAATCAGTAACTCAAAGAGGTGGCTTCCAGCTTATATGGCATCTTCAACAAAGAATAATAAGTTTGTGGAGAAATGACAGGACGAAGGAAAGAGTTTTAGGCTTGCAAGAGCAGAAAACTGTGGAAAGGTAAACTAATCATAGATAAAGGCTAGTTTGTTATGTAGATTCCTCTGGTGTTGTCTCCCGGTTGATAGGGTCTAAAGTTATCTCCCCTGATTAGTTTTGTCCTTGGTAGAGGTTGGAGGGACAGCTTTGAGAATTTACGTCCTACCTTTCGACAGATAGGTAGAGGGCAGGGAGCTTTTCTTTATTCTGCTTCTTCTGAATTGCCTTTAGACTCAAAATAATCCTTATGTCAAAGTGGCATATTCTGCTACCCTCAGTATCCTCTTTGCTTTTGTGTATTGTTTGAAAATTTCCTTAATAAAAAGCTTGAAAACAATGAATAAACAAGTGAACAACCAAGGGGGCTCAGGTTTATATAGTTATTCTGGAACGCTGTCTCATGCTGTCTTCAACTGATGGCCTTAAGATCATCCCAGCATCATCAAGTCAGCAGATGAAGAAAGAAAGCTGGACTGCAAGGGCATACATACCCTTTCTTATTTTATTTATTTATTTTTTGGTACCCGGGCCTCTCACTGTTGTGGCCTCTGCCGTTGCGGAGCACAGGCTCCAGACGTGCAGGCTCAGCGGCCATGGCTCACGGGCCCAGCCGCTCTGCGGCATGTGGGATCTTCCCTGACCGGGGCACGAACCCGTGTCCCCTGCTTCGGCAGGTGGACTCTCAACCACTGGGCCACCAAGGAAGCCCTACATACCCTTTCTTAACCACCTGGGCACAGAAGAGGCACATCACTTCCATTCACATTCCATTTAGGAGTACTAGTCACACAGTTCTCCCTAGATCCAAGGAGGGAGTCTACCTGCAGTATGCCCAGGAGAAAAAGGAAATAAGGTTTGGAGTATACATGGCCAGTCTTTACCACAGACCCATTCTCTCTCTTTAGAGTATATTCCTTTTAGTCCTATCTCTGGTCTCCTGATTGGCCATACTTCCCTTTTTAAATTCATCTTTCCATAATTATAACTGCCAATTCTAATCCAGCTTCATTCTTGAAAACTCTTCCTAATTTCTACTCGGATGTAATATTTAGTAAGGTCTGTCACATTCCCTATCCCCCACTTTACATGTTCATTTCTAAATCCAGTCAGTTGCTTTTTGTTGGAGATTGGGGCTAAAAACCTAAGTCCCTGATTGCTAGCTGTAAATCGCAGTTAATTGGTTCTGTCTGAAGTAAAGATTTGGATCCCTGTATTATAAACAGAAAGGTATGGAAAGCCTCAGACCCTCCCCCTATACTTTCTCTCACAAAGTCCTTGTTATTCTTCATTGCAGTCTTTACTCTTTGAAATTATGTCATGTTTATCGTCTGTCTCACTCATTCACACGGAGCTTACATTCTAGAAAGAGAAAGAACAGTAAGCCAAGGGTACTGAAAACGATCTTTGAGAGCTTTGAAAGGCCTCCTTCAGCTCTCAAATTATATTAAAGGTGCATGGATTATCACTATGAATATTAGGTGGAGAGGAATGATTTAACTTAAATTAAAAAAATGGAATAACCATATGTTGTATTAATGGAATATTACTGAGAAAGTTTACCTGGAAAAGTTTTATTTTACCAGGGTCACACTGAGTTGATTGTAATATCTACAGTTTTATACCATATAATTTATATTAACTCTTTCATACTCATCTTATTTAATCCTCACAGCACCACTTTGAAATATTCAATCAAAGAAACCAAAGCTCAGAGGTTAAGTGCTTTGCTGAAGGGCACCAGCCAGTT